ATCTCACAGTTAGATTATGTATCTGAGATGAGAGAAAGATTAAACAGAGAAGGTGAATTAGCTAGACAACATTTGGAGGTGGCACAGCATCTAATGAAGCAAAAAGCAGATGATAAACTAAAATTTGTACGTTTGCCCATGGGGATAAAGTATTGGTGTTACCAATGGTAGAAGATCCCTTCAAAGCAAGGTTTAGCAGTCCCTCTCAGATTGAGAAGAAGTTAAGTCAAGTGAATTATCTGGTGAAGATGCCAGATAGGAAAAAGATTCATCAGATATGTCATGTAAACATGCTGAAACCTTACTTTGACAGGGAAAGGGAACCGGAGAAACAGCTATTAGTTACTGCCATTCAGAGTGAGGAATCAAATCCAGATGATTTGGATTTTGATGAGCCTCAGAATGAATTAAATAATTGGGAAGTCCTTAAAGAATGGGATCGAATAGTAAGCTATCTGTCTCAGGAACAGATAATTGAATTGAAAGGTTTGTTGCAGCACTATGAGGACATATGTACAAATAGAATGTGGCAGACTAATACTATAGTACATGAGGTTGACATCGGGAATGCTGTTCAATTAAAACAACACCGCTACAGGCTTAATCGTCTGAGCAGCACAGGTACAGAAGGAAGTGGAAGCGATGCTTCAAGAAGACATCATTGAACTGAGTCAAAACAAGTGGACTTTGCCAATCATGTTGGTTCCCAAACCTGATAGTAGTCAATGATTCTGCGTAAATTATTGTAAGGTCAACACTGTGACTAAATCAAACTCATACCCAATTCTAAGGCTGGAGGACTGTGTGGAAAATGTTAGACAAGCTACTTGCATCATAAAGTTGGACTTAATGGTTACTGGGAAGTACCTTTGTCGGATAGAGTGAAAGAATTTTCTGCATTTGTAACCCCAAATGGCTATGCCAATTTAAAATAAAGCCCTTTAGAATGAAGAACACACCAGCCACATTTCAAAGACTTATGAACAGAGTAGTGGCAGGATTGATTAATTGTGCTATCTGTGCAGATGACTTAATGATCTTTAGCCATTCATGGACAGATCACACGGTGCATTTGGCAGAGCTCTTTGAGAGATTATGGAAGGCAAAGTTGGTCATATATTTGGCAAGGACAGAATTCACAAAAGCGAAAGTGATGTTCTTAGGACATATTATTGGACATGGGAGGATGACATCGAAAAAACAGGAAGACGATGGCCATCGAGGAATTTCCAAGACCATATCAAAGAAGGAAGCACTATGATTTTTGGGACAGTGTGGATTCTACTGGAAGTTTATACCAAACTTTAGTAGCATGGTGGCACAGCTGACGGATTTGTTAAAGAAGGACACAAAATTCCAGTGGACAGACCAATGCCAGGAGGCATTTGAGAATTTAAAAGCAGTGTAAACCACTGCACCAGTTTTAGCTAGGCCAAATTTCTTGAAAACCTTTGAAGTTGCTATCGATGCAAGCGATGTAGGGGTTGGAGCTGTGTTGTTACAGGAGGATGATTGTGGCATTGAAAGGCCAGTTGGTTATTTTTCAAAGAAACTCCATATTCACCAGAGAAAATATTCAACCGTTGAAAAGGAGTTATTGAGTTTGGTACTGGCCTTCCAACATTTTAATGTTTATGTTGCAACCAATATATCAGAGACAGTTGGGTACACTGATGATTGTAACCCTTTTGGAAAGATTTAAAAATAACACCAGACTATCTCATTGAAGTCTTATGTTACAAGCATTTAATTTACAGATTGTACATGTTGTGGGTTAGGAAAATGTTTTTGCGGATGTGTTATCACAGGTTTAAAAGGCAAATGTGTATATATAGGATAAATATGGTAGTGTTCAAGTTATATGTATAGAATTGGTATGAAATGTGTAATTCTAGATTACTGACCTATGTATCTAGTAATAATGGTGTTAAGGGGGGAGGTATTGCAAAGTTGGTATAGTACTTTGTGGTTTAGAAGGCAGGATGTTAGAATATTTGATGTTTGTAAAATGATAAGAGAGAAGAGTGCATCGTTCCTGTGTTTTGTTTAGCCTACGATTTAAAAAAAAAATTTGCAAGCTGCAGCAGCTGCGCAGAGAGTTCTTGAATTGAAACATTGGTATCGAAGAGGTATACTGTTAGCAGGCAAGGCAACATTTTTACCAAGACAACAGGTTTTGAATTTAGCTAATTAATTTAAACCAGGCCCAAAATACCAAAAACCAATTGGATTTGGATCTTATGGTTTTGACAACCTAGGATCAATCCTATTATAAGAAATTAATAGGTTATCAAGGGTATAAAAGAAGAGGACATTCAAAAATCGATGTGAAAGCAACTGCTGTCAAAGACAGGTAACAACTCATCAGCTCTAAAGAGAAACATTGGCTCTCATAGAATTCTATCAGCTCTCAAAAAAAATCCATCTAATTAAAGGTACAGTGGCACTCTTAGCTAATATTCAATGGAGAGAGGTGTTTTGGACACCAGAATTCAACAGAGAAAGGCGTTCCTGGTGGAGGATCAGCGGAGAGGACGCAGAACATTCCAGAAGACGCATTCTGGCTGTAATTTCACAGGATTACGTTTTAATCTTTTTTTAAATTACTATTTTGGTTTATATAAATGGGACTTGTATCTATTGGAACATCATACCATTAGAATTTTGTTTTATTCAGGTATAATTAGTAGTTAAGGGAGGAATTGTTTGGTTTGTTAGTAGTTCTGTTATTTTGTTTAGGTTAGGTTAGATGGGCTTCAGATTGGTTTCACAGGTCAGCGCAACATCCAGGGCCAAAGGGCCTGTACTCTGCTGTAATGTTCTATGTTCTATGTTCTATGTTCTTTCTTTAATGCTAGAGTTAGGTAAATAAATTGCTACTTATTGATTGTAGAGTTCCTGTCAGGAGTTTATTCTATTCACCTCTCCTTTATAACAGAATGGGACGTGAGAGGCAGGGTTATATCACATTTCCCATTTCCTTTAACAGATTATGAGGTGAGGCGAGCTTCTCTGGGGGTTTCAATTTTAATTAACAGAGAGGTGTCAACCGCTCCTTCGTAACAGGCAACATGATGTTAACTTTGAACTGCTTCTGCAAAATGTCAGGGTAAAGTAATGGACCTTTTGTATTTTAAACTTACATGGGTCCAGGATTCAAGGTTCATCACTTTGAAGGACTCTACATGCAGTGAACCACTTTGAAGTGTAAGACCTAGTGTTTTACAAGCAAACAAGATTCTGATTTTGTGCATGGCAAGAGTCCAGACAGTGCAATGAAATGAATGAGCAGTTCATCTGTTTTCTTCTAGGTATTGTTGATTTGGGGCAGAAAAGTGCCTGTATTTTGGATGAAGTTTCTTTTGTTCCAAATACAGTCCTGAACTTGAACATATAATCAAGGCTTCTGCAAAAACAGACAGAAAAGGCTTTCTTCTAGCTATGGCTGTTTGCACTAAACAAAAGAGAAATAAAAATTACAATGTCCGACCTTTTATACTGAAAGCCTCATGCACACAGTATACTTTTGTTCACTTGTCAAATTTAGTCAATGAAAACAAAACCACATTACTCTCCAGAAACATACTCGCTCTCTCACTGTTTTATGGCTACAGGTGAATCATTAAACCCCTTCAGACAGGCAGACCAAAACTAACTTGCCATTAGCTCAAATCTAACTCAAAGAAATAAGATTAAAACTTAAATCACACATTACGTGGGGAATTGCAACTATTTGTCTACATTAATCAGATTGTTCTTGGGATCATACATACTATTCCGTATATGTTGTCCATCCCTGTTGGCGCGTCATTGATCAGAGCTAGGATACATTTTCATACGGAGAGAGGATGTATAATATGAACTACAATTGATCCTCTTCTGGTGATTTGATTTGATATAGAGTGGGATTTGTGTCTCCTCTGGTAGCTCAAAAAGAATGTATCATGAATAGTTATAAAGACCACGAATATTTCAGCCTTATTCCAGATTTGTGGTGGTATCTACCTCAGACATGATTGTGATACAATATTAGGTACCTTTGCAATCACAAAACAGAAATTGGACAGAGTTCACGTTTCTGATTACTGTCCAGGGACTACTGTTAGGTACAGTTTATGTAAATATTTGGCTCGACGCATGCAGTTGAATATCTGCCACCATGCACCGTGAAAGCTTATTTGAGGGGAGACAACAGGACATTTTTGAGCTATGCCTCAGTCTGGATGAGTGTCTCCAGAACATGAAATAATGGTATAAAAATGACAAGAATGCCCACAGAGTATTCCCGATTGCCTTCATGCCTACAATTCCAAGTCTCAAAATCACATTGCTTCAGGATGTCATTGGGCAACTTGGGCTGATTGTTTCCTTTGTACATTATAATGAACCTGATCTTCGCTCCTGCTCTTTCATGATAAAGATGGAAGTGTCCTGCTAGTTATACTGAATTGTAAGGCTTAGATCCTTTTCTTCATTTAGTTTATACAGTGCATTGTTCAAACTGCATTTAAAGAAGGCTGCAATAGATTGATCCGTCTCTTCCAACTAAACCTTCTTACAAGTTTAGCATGCACTGCAAGATACAATTTACTGTTGATAAAGGCTGAACTGAAGGCTATCCTGAAGTTGAATGTTAAGGTTTTATTGAGAATACTCCTATTTACGCAAAGTTGCTGATTGACATCAAAATGTGAGTGGCCATGATTTTGGTAGAAATAATAGTTTTGGGTCAGTAAACTCAATTTCCTGCATTAGGTGTGAACCACACTCTTTTAATGTTTCAAATTGTTCAGTAGGATCACTGAAGGAAAATATGTTGTGTCCCAGTGTGGGGATAATGTTCGATTGATGAGCTGTTTATTTTAGATTTTGCTCAGAACCATTAAGACTAGCTAAATATTGAGGGCAGCTGTATCACCTCTGCAACTCTCCACATTTTCTGACAGCAGGAGACTGTGTACATTAGTAATCCAATTTATTTATTGATCTCGTTTGTGTAGGAGTACCAGTAAGCAGCCGAGTCTCTGCAAAGATCCAGCAGCTTGTAAACACCCTTAAGCGGCCGAAACGCCCTCCGTTACGCGAGTTCTTTGTCGATGATTTTGAAGAATTACTTGAAGGTAAACTTTGAGTTTCGGGGTTTTATTCCAAACTGAACTTATTATGCATAATGTGCATATATATATTTCATAAAATTCACAATAAGATTTGCAAATGTTGGAAACAATGCTATCCAACCCTTTACAACATCATGTCTTTGCATTCATCTACTGTCCTGTCCTTGTGGACTTTCATTGGCAGATGGTTCTCAAATCCACAAATTCTTATCCTCGTGTATTGATCCTTTCAGCACTTCCCTCATCCTTATCTCCCTATCTTTATTAGGCTCAAAACCGCAGATATTTCTGGCCTCCCACAGCACTCTCTTTCATTAGCTATAGCTGCTGTATCATCTCTGTCTCTTCACCATCATTGACAACTTGACCTGAAGTCATCTTGAATCCAGCTCTGGAATTCACTTTGACTCATCAGCTCCTTTGAAATGTTTACAACTCTCTTTTAGACCTACATCTTTCATTAACCTTTTAGTGACCTTCCTTGGCCCTTTGCTCATTTATGATGATTATGCTCAGGTGAATGCACTGCCCAGTGGGACTTTGAACTGCACAAATGGTATGGCTCGTTTGGCCCATGTACTGCATCTAGTTTTGAAAACTGAACCTCAGGAAAGATATATTACCTTTAGAGTGTGTACAAGACAGATTCAATACAATAATATGAGTGTTTAAAGGATTAAATTGTGAGGACAGGCTGCATTGACATGGTTTGTATTCTCCTGAATTTAGAATATTATGGGGTTATCTACTTTTGGTGTCAACCTAATGAAGTGATTCAGTGGGGTTGATAGAACTATTGGGTGAAATCTAGAATAGGAAGTTGAAATTTCAAACTTGGAGCTCTGCCATTTGATTGAAATCAGGAAGCATTTTTATGCATGGGTATGGGAGGTGTATTAAATCCAGTGGTGATTCCCAGTGCCACCCTGTGTGGAATTTTACCTGGGGTGTGCAGGCCTGTTGAGACCCAATGACTGACTAATTAATATCTGTTAAAGGTCTCATCCCACCAGTACTGGTATTTTAGCCCCAAGGCCCATCAGAGATATCCCCTACTCTCCATGAGCCTTCCCTTGGCCTTGTGAAGATGGCTGCCCACACCCCTCATCCTCTTTGCCAAGAACTTCAAACTCGTATGTATCTGGACACCTTGGTGTGGTAGTCCTAGGCATGGTCTGATGGCCGATTAGCTCTCTAAGGTACAACTTAACCCTGTGAAAAGTGTAGAAGACTCACTTTCAATCAGTCATTGCTGTTCTGAGTCATCGGGATTGTGGGTGGAATCCCCGTTGATGTCATAGCTGATGTGGGAGGCAACTGGAATATGGACTGAGGTGCCACCTAAAACCAACCTCATGAAGTATAGTGTACGTCTTTGAAATCTCTTCAACAACAGGCCGTTGAAATCTTAAGATTGGAATCACTGACTTTTGTAGAGCAAAGATATAGAGGGATGTGGAGCAAAACCTAGTAAATAAATATTGAGGTATAGCTGAGCCAAAACCTGATTGAATAATGGAAGATCATCAAGGTGTTGATTGGCACACTTGTGTTTTTATGGTCCCGAGTTAAGTCAGCCAAAGTCATAGAGTCGTAGAGCAAGGAAAAGGATACAGAAGCGACACATACTACAAAAAACTTCAGCATTCTTCCCTGCATCCGCCCACATGTCTGCAAATAAACCCACCTCTATGACGAGAATCACCCAAGGCTTGCTCAACCTGAGTATGTTACACTGACGAAACCTGAAGTCTCACATGTAATGTTCCCTGATTTCCTAACAGGAAGGATAGTTTATCATTTAACCATCAGGATTGGCCATAGATAATACGTAATTTACTGATGGTAGTGTTTTGAAGTCAAAATAAACAGTGTTTTGGAAGCACGCAAATGGGAATTAAAACTGCTCCAGCAGAAATATTGATACTTTCAATTCTATTGCAGTTCAACAGCCAGACCCTAACCAGCCAAGACCGGAGGGAGCACAAATGCTAGCCATCCGGGGAGAACAGCTGGGAGTAGTAACAAACTGGCCACCATCCCTGGAGGCAGCTCTTCAGCGTTGGGGGACCATTTCTCCAAAGGCACCTTGCTTGACCACCATGGACACAAATGGAAAACCACTTTACATCCTTACATACGGTACTTCACCCCTTTTTGTCCAGATCATTTTGTTGAGTATCTCATTAACTGTGGTAACAAGGAAAGTAATAAGGGGATGTGGTGGAGTAGTGTTCTGGTAAGTCAAAAGCCTGGGCTAACATTCTGGAGATGTGGGTTTGAATCCCACCACAGCAGATAGTTAAGTTTGCATTCAATAAAAATCTGGACAATAAAGCAACCTGATGGCAGCAATCAAAACACTACCACTTATTGTAGACATCCGTCTGGTTTACTAATGTCCTTACCTGGTCTGGCCTACATGTGATTCCAGACCCACAGCAATGTGGCTGACTCAACTATCATCTGGGCAATTAGAAATGGATAATAAATGCTGGCCTAACCAGTGATTTTCACATCCCATGAACACATTTAAAAAAAGCCGAAATATCAGATTTGCCTGGAGTCTGCATTCTCACTGAAGATGAGTCATCACTTTTTGCCAGCTCCATGGCTGTGACATTAAATTCCTATAAGGTTGAAAGATTTCTGTAGTCACACAAAGTGACTTGTCACTCTATTCTGAGTGTCAATGTTCTTTTTTTCCCTAAGCTATGACATTATATACTGAGATTATTTTATACCTGTGGTGAGGACTGTGAATCTGATTAAATTTGGCAGCAAAATAGGCCCTAATATAAGCCATTCAATGTGACAGAGGTTGCATCAGATTTTGTATGTGGTTTGGTTGCCTTTTAAAATTCAGAAAGTTGGGCTCCTTTTGAGTTACATTGTCAGAATTCCACAAAGTTTTTCAAAGTATATGCTATTTAATTTAAGTTGATACTTTTACATTTATACCAGTCTTGTGTGTCTTCTCCCACTCATTGCACTGAGTTGAACTGGGTTGTTCCATGTGTTCTGTCCAAGGCCTCAATGCAGATAGTAATAGCTGCATTTCCCTGTCTATATATATAATCTTACATGATGTTTCAAGTATTAATTTTCATAAAAACATCCTCAGTTCTTAGGGAGCTATCAAATCTTTGTGCCCTGCACAAGAAGCATATTAAAAAGACAAATGAGTGCAAAGCTCTGAGCTGCAGAGGGATCTGAGTGTCCTACTGCATGAATCACAAAGGGTTAATGCAGAGGTCCAGCATGTAATTAGGAAAGCCAATAGAATGCTGTTGTTTATTATGGGGACAACTGAATACAAACGTAGGAAGGTTGTGTTTCAGTTGTAGAGGGCACTCGTGGAACCCCCCCTGGTGTGATGTGTACAATATTGGGCGCTTTATTTAAGGAAGGATGTCAATGTTTTGGAAGAAATCCAGAGAGTGGGTTTAACTAATGAGGAAACGTTGAACTTACTAGGCTTGTATCTCCTGGAGTTTAAGAGTCAGGAGTGACTTCATTGAAACATATAAGATCCTTTGAGGAGGACCAGATATTCAGTCTTTCTCCTTCAAGATACTGAGCTGTTCTGTCCACAAGTCCATAGGATATGACCAACACAAGCAGCAAGTCATATAGTATAGGGAGCTGGCATGTCCATACAACACATACCTGCTTACTTAAAGCCGGGGTAAGGCCATAGCCTACACAATATTGCTGTCTGGTGGAGTTCCTTGTTACTCCACTTGCTTCCCCCAGGAATGTGGCATTGAGCTCCTCTCTCCATGGTGTGCTGAGTGAGTCTTTTAGTACAGACTGTCATTCACCTATCAGTAAGCCACATGTGACATGATTTGTTTAGGGCAGGTGGTGAGAATGAGAGAGGGGAGAAGAAATATGGTTAGAGTATTATATCATAAGTGGACAGAGAAGGAGAGAAAAATGATCAGTTAACTTAAGTTTTCTTCCCAGCAGGCATGCCTGCCTTGTGCTGAGAAAGCAGCACGCCTGGTACAATAGTTTGTGAAAACCTCTACCAGCTGTTACTCAACAATTTAAAAGCTTTGTATGAAAGTACAGAACTGTGATGGCAGGACAAGGGGAAGAGAAAGAACACCGGGGAGGTGATGGCCTAGTGGTATTATCGCTGGACTGTTAATCCAGAGAACCAGATAATGTTCTGGGGTCCTGGGTTCAAATTGCACAATGGCAGATGGTGGAATTTCAATTCAATAAATATCTGGAATTAAGAGTCTAATGATGACCATGAATCCATTGTCAATTGTGAGAAAAACCCATCTGGTTCACTAATGTCCTTTAGGGAAGGAAACTGCCATCCTTACCTGGTCTGGCCTACATGTGACTTCAGATCCACAGCAACGTGGTTGACTCTTAACTGCCCTCTGGGAAATTAGGGATGGGCAATAAATGTTGCCTAGCCAGCGACACCCTCATCCCATGAATGAATAAAGAAAACAAAAATTACTGACTTGGCGGAAAACTAGTTATGATTACAGTCATGTTGAACACTTGATATTAAAGAAAAATAGTTAGGGTCTGAATCTTGTTTTTTTTTCATGAATTACCTGGATCGCTAACACCCACACTCCTAGCAATATCCTTAAATGTCATTGATTATAAAAGTTCATTGCTGGTTTAATTAATTGTGGTGTCTTTAATCCCATACAAAAGGATTTTGTGTAATTTGGTTCTATACTGCCTGATTAGGACTGCTGACACCTTAGCATTCTCATGATGTAGTAATTAATAGTTAATTGCACATAAAGTTATTAACTGCAGCTTCATTTGTATAAATTGAGGTTGGTAGTTAAAAGTATGGTTATGTAGGTAGTGGGAAGAAGACATTTCGTCATGGAAGGTTAACATTTGTTTAGCTAATAGTACTTTTGGTTATATTTGGACATCAGTTGGGAAGATGAGGTTTTGAATGTCAATGAAACCTTTTGTTATTTTAAATACGCAACTCTACTATGTAGAATATGGGTGTTTATGACATCTTCAATGTACAATTAACGTCCAATTGTTTGCAGCTATTTCTAGACTTCCTTGCGGATGAAGCAATCACTATGTCATGGTAAGGGAATAGCAACAGGAGTGTGCAGAGCTGATTTGAGGTTGCCACATTTAAATTAGTCATAGCCATGTTTTTGTGACAATGATTTCCTGAGTGACCTATCTTCTTTCTGACTTTTCTTCCAGAATGTGTTGTATGTTTTGTAAGATAAATCTATCTATGTGTTATTACTCCAGGAGTTATTCAATTACAATTATTATTAAGGTATTCATTAATAGAAGGTTTCCCATGGGTAATGTGTGAAATTTAAAAGTTTACTAGAGATTTTATTAGAATCGACAGATTATTGATCTTACTGAGTTAGAAACTACAAATTATTTCATTGGCAATTTTTCAGTCATGCAGTGTTGGGTAACATAGCTTAAATTTTATATGTTTGTGTATGTGTGTGTACAATGTTTCTAGATATCTCTTAGTCCCTCTTTTTGGATATTTCAGCACTTTCTACAATTTATTGAACTCCTTCAATAAAGTCTGAATATTGGATTTAATTAGTGTTTAGATATTAGAGAATTATGCTTATAAATGATTGCTCTTTTTTGTGAAAAGCACATGGAGCTAATTGTATGACATTAGATTGTTAATGTCATTAGGTGACACAGTTAGTGACTTCCATTTTGAGAGTCTAATGTGATGTATTACGTACAAAAATGAATCATTGCACTCTCCTATACAAATCTAACTTTGCAAATATCGCACTAACTTCAGTGACAGAATTGCAAAGCAAAGCCCTTATGCAAAGAACTGTCCAGAATTCTTGTAGAGTCATTGCATTAATCTTTTGCATTGAAGAAAGGCATCATCCAACACACAGCTGAATTTTAAATTAAAAATAGTCGTTGATTTAGGTCACAAAAATGTATTTCCTGACTGAGACACTATCCCTACCCTCAAATTGCACATTTCCAAAATTGTGAAGCCAGAATGGAAGGAATGATAACCTCCCTCTGCAGGAGGTTGGTGAGAACTTTAAATATAATCACGAGCTATAAGCCTTATTGTCTTGCTGCCAAGCTTCCTTTTTAACTGCTGTTGGCCTACTTTCCTGAGCATCAGGAATCCAGCAGCTTCACCAAAACGAGGAGTCGGGAGGTTAGTGCCTTCACACCACCTTCCTGGATGCAGGTGCTAACTTTTGCAGCCCCCATAATTAGTGGGGATGTGATGATATACTGGTATTGTCATTGGACTAATGATCCAGAGCCCCAGACTAATGTTCTGGGAGCATAGGTTTGAATCCCACCACGGCAAATGGTGATATTTGAATTTAATAGAAGTCTGAAATTAAAAGTTGGTCTCATGGCAACCATGTAACCATTGCAGATTGACACAAATACCCATCAGGTTCGCTTATAAGCATTATGGGAGGAAATCGACCATCCCTGGTCTGATCTATATCTGACTCCAGATCCCCACCAATATACCTTCTGGACTGCCTCTGAAATAGCCTATCAAGCCATTCGGTTCAAGATCAATTAAGGACAGGCAAAAATTGCTGGCTCAGCCACTGGTATCCACATTCCATGAACAATTTTTTTAAAAATCAGTCCCCCTTCTCCCAACCTTCCCCCCCACCGAGGTCTCCAACCCTGCCAGTAGGCTCCTGTTTCCTCCGCACCCCGGTCTCCCAGCCTCCAATTCTCCCCACTACTAAAACCTTCAATGACTCCCCTTCACCCTGAGGTTCAGCAGCCTAACATGCGACTTCCTCCATTCCCCGTTTCTGACCTAGTTGCTTCTAGCTCCCCTACCTGACTGGAAGCTCAGGCCATCGAGGTTGGTCTACAAGTGGGGAACTGATGACTAACTTCAGTGACGTGGCACAGAGTTAGAGCTCCATGGCATTCTCAGAGGAAACACGTCATAAGTGACGCACTCATTGCTGTTTTTGTAAGTGAAAAGCCTTCCCATAGTTAACACAGCAGCTGATTTCAGGATGGTAAAAAAGGCAAGACTTTTCAATATCTCTGGAAACTCACTTGGAGCACACAAATTTCAAGTTCTTTAAAGTGAGAGACTATCGATCAGCCCTTATGTTGTCATTAACAGTTTAGTTATGGAGTGTCAACCCCTCTTCAGTCTCTGATCAGGAAAAGTGGAGCATATTTTCAGAATCTACTCAACTCTTGTTACCATTAGTTAGTAAGGCTCCAGCTAGACTATTGTGGCTGTTTATTAACACCACACTTTAGTAAAATGTCAAGGCATTTCAGAGGATACGAAAAGATTTACTAGAATGGTTCCTGGGACAAGAGAATACAGTTTCCTCAAAAGAATGAAAGAACTAGTGTTGCTTTCCTTTGAGAAGAGAAAACAATGAAGAAATTTGACAATATTGTTTAACATCATGAATGGTTCAGATAGAGTAAATAAAGGAAACTGTTCCTGCTGATTAAAGACTGATAATAAGAGTGGTATGAATAGTTTGGATTTGGAATGGACTGCTGATTGTATTGTGAATGGCTACCTACTAGTAGCCTCTAGGGAACTAAATAAATAGTATCTATAAAATATCGCAGGAACATGAGGGAAGAGTGGGGACTGTGGTACTGAAGATCCATCGCATATTCAATGGACCAAATTAACACTCGATTCACAGATTTTATAGTGCGCCTGTGAATGGCCTTGGAATGTTTTACTAAGTTAAGGTTAAAATATGAATGCCAGTTGTTGTTGGCAGCTGAAACATGATGAAGCAGCAGAACATGTGTTAATAATCTGATAATTAGTTGTGGAATGATCAAGGTACAATATATGAGCAGAGAAATAGAAAAAGGTAGTTAGAATCAGACAATTATCCCAGCGCAAGATGTGATTTATTCTAATGTATGCCCTTCAAAGTATATAATCCAAGGAAGTCCAGGGACACCGCTCGCTTTCCAAATTACACCAAGCACTGGTTTATCCCTTGCTAAAGGGAAACATTGCTAGATTATTGAAGAGGATATGACTAGAGGAAATGTTGGATGCTGATGTCATGGGTAAGAAGCATATGCTATCTTACTGCCTGTAATCATTATAGTTTAAATAGAAAGAGGTATGTTTATTATCCTTGGATTATTTATCCAATTCAGTAGTTGAGCAGCAAGTTTTCGTGGGTTTAAAATAAAGAAGGTTTCTTTTCCTCAGACACTGAACTCTGAATTACTGCAATGTCATGTACTTGCTGTAAATATGTGCCCACACTCTCACACATACACCTCCCTCTCTCTCTCTCTCTTTATGGTTCCAGTCTCCTGTGTGGCAAGCCAGTGCTTTCTGGAATGGATTTGTTGATTTTAAACGAAGTTATTGTCTGATAAATTGAGGGATTCATAGCAGGTTGTGAGGTTTCTTTATAATCAAATGTCTAGGATTTTGATTCTCACTTTGGAACTGGAACAGTTTTAAGTATTTTGGCTGCTTGATAATTTGCAGTTAATATCAGGGTCTGGATCTCGGACTGGCTGGTAAGTGAGGGTCCTGATGGATCTGTTGGATACTGGGTTAATAAATGTGCACTGCCCTGAACCCAGCATCGATCACATGATGGACCAGTGGACTAACATTTCTGATACCCATCCCAGAGTTGTTTGAATGGGAAAGGCCATTGTCATAAAATGGAAAGTGAAAGTGGTCATTCTGTTTTAATCTTTCTTTTCATCCAATTTAAATCATGAAGCAGTCAGTCTAGAAGTCCATAGCTTTTTTTGGTGATCCTTAAACAATTAGATGTGTGAAATTGACAGATGGCAATGAGGTATCCTCACCTATATCCACCTTTAATAAGTATTCACTGGAGACTTGATGTAGGCTGTAATCCAAACGCCAACAGTCACATGATTTGCAGCCACCTTAACAGTTTGAGTGTCCAATTTTTAGAAGTATTGACTCAAAGGTCATGATATGACATAATGTCAGGAAGCCTCAAATTTAGTGGAGAGTCTAACCTTTTGGAACGTAAAATACCATCTAGACATGCATGTTCTGAAAGCTTTTAGAAAAGACCCTGAAAGGACCTGAGTGAAGAGGACACTTTCAGTTGTAGAGTGTAATTTGTTAGGTACAATCATAAGATGTAATGGGCTATGTGTTCTTCTGCAGCTTTACTTGATTGCCTTAAAGAGTTGCGGAGGATTTCCAACAAGATTTGTTTTCCCCTTTTCCTGCCTCCTAGGAGATGGCTTGGTTAATGCATGAGTCAGTAGTTATATTGTCAGACTGTGCTGCATCAGAATTGTGTGTAGGGCCTCGTCGTGATTTCTTCCCTTTCATTGTATTTTAAGTGCAATTGGATAAGTATTTGAAAATGAATGGCATAAAAGGATATATTGAAAAGTGTTCTGGTTTTTTGGTTCTTTTTCAGGAGTGTGTTCCTAGATAATGGACCAAGTGGCCTTCTGTAATATATATATGGCAGATAAAACCTGTAATTAAATAACTAGGCTGTGTCAATTTAAAGCAGTGCATATGTTTTCAGAGGACAAAGTATTTCCTTCCTATGGGTGAAAAATCTGCTATTTCATGTGTGTAGCTTTGAAATGTGAGAATGCAAAGTCCTGTTCTTTTTCTCTAATGATCTTGCATGGTCTGCCAGTATTCATGTGTGGGTTTAATGCTTTAAGGTTTTGATGTGGACTGCAAACTTGTATTCCTGTTTTCCGTAGAGCAAAAGTATTCAGCAATTGATTTTAAATTGGCTGAAGAAACACAAGCACAGGCTTATTTTTGCTTTTTCTCTTTGAATAATCACAGTTATGGGTGTTGCTTTTTTTTTAAACCAACAGGGAAGCTGTGGACAAGAAGTATGAAAGTGGCTTACAATATCCTACATAAACTAGGCACCAAACAGGAGCCAATGGTCAGGCCTGGAGACAGGGTAAGCATGGAGCACACGCTGTATTAGAGCGCTTGAGAACAGAAAATGCTCTTCCTGGGTTGAATGAATCTCTTTTCTAACTCTCAATTATTAAATAACTTTTATTTTCCAAATCCAGCCACGGAATGAATTATGGAAATATTCAAAATCCTGAAGTGTGTTGTAATGCCAGCATTTTCAGATGTTAAAGAGCAGATAACTTCACACTCAAGAGGGAAGTTAACTGTATTGAAATTTAGGTTCAACTACCCCATGTGCAGGGTAGTGAACGTAGGGAGTGGAGTGCCAAGAGATCTAGTGAGGGTTGATTTTGTCAGCAAATTCAAGACCATAAGACGTAGGAGCAGAAAGTAAATTGATAGATGGATATTTTTAAAAATTGTGTGATTTTTGGATGACCTAGACACTTGTAATGTGTTAAGTCTGATTATGATTTTAAATTTTTGAGCACTACGTACTCCATTTGTAATATTTATGTTGTCTAATTCAAATTGGCTAGTGGTGGCAAGGTGCTGCCATTAAGATTGGCCTCCAAGAACTGCAAACAATCTTTCTAACCCCAGAACAACGTTGAAGGAGTTCCTCTGAACAATACCTTATGGACACAACTGTATCCAACTGCTTTACCAATGACTTTCTGTCCAGTTGAGGGGCTGACTGTGATTGCATATGGTAAATGAGGGGTGTATTTGACAGGGCTAATAACTCTGACTCATTGCCAGCTATACATTTTTTGAATGTGGGTGAGATTCATTGAGAGAGACAGATTTTTAAATCAGTAAAGAAATCAAGTGGTCAGGAAAGTGGAGTTCAGATCAGCCATGATCTCATTGAATGGTGGAACAGACTTGATGTGCCAAATTACCTACTTCTGCTCCAACATCTTATGGTGTCCTGTGGCATCCTCAGCTCTCACTTTTCCCTCCAAGCACCTGCAATACACACCAGTGGATATATTCTGCACTTCATCTTAGCTGATAAGTTAAACAAAGTTATGGTATCATCAGCTTTGTCTGGTGTACATAGAAGGATGATATGTAAATGCATACTGGTATTGTTGCGGGGCTAGTAATCTGGAGACTCCGGTAATGCTCTGGGGACCTGAGTTCAAATCCTGCCAAGGCAGATGTAAGTACATTTTTTTAAAACCTGGAATCAAAAAGTCTAATGATGACTATAAAAATCTAACATTTTGTGAGATTTTCATCTGCTTCACTAATGTGAAGGAAATCTTCAGCCCTAACGTGGTCTGACTGCATGTGGCTTCAAATCCACAGCAATATGATTGGTAAAGCTCGGTGGGTCTGGCAGCATCTGTGAAGAAAATATCAGTGTTAACGTTTTGGGTCCAGTGGCCCTTCCTCAGAACTTCTGCCAGACCCGCTGAGCTTTTCCAGCAACTTTGTTTTTGTTCCTGATTTACAGCATCCGCAGTTCTTTCGGTTTTTATTTAGCAATATGATTGACCTTTAACTGCCCCCTCAAACGGCCTGGCAAGCCACTACAAATCAGTATAAAAGAATGAGGCTGGACGGTTAAACTGGCATCAACCTAGGCACTAGAAACAATAACAATAAATGGAGCTGTATCAAACATATAAATGTCCCCTTGGGAGTACCCACTGCCTAGTGCCAAACTTGGGAGAGCTGCCTGATAGACAAGGGAAGCATTAGCCTGATACAGTCATACTCATGGAATGGGACCTTACAAACAAAGTCTCAGACCCCACCATCACCATCACCTGGGGAGGTGATGGCTTAGTTGTATTATTGCTGGACTGTTAATCCAGAGACCCAGATAGTGTTCTGGGGACCTGGGTTCGAATCCCGTCATGGCAGATGGTGGAATTTGAATTCGATAAAAATATCTGGAATTAAGAGTCGAGCAATGACCATGAATTTATTGTCGATTGTTTGAAAAATCCATCTGGTCCACTAATGCCCTTTAGGGAAGGAAACTGCCATCCTTACTGGGTCTGGCCTACATGTGACTCCAGCCCAACAGCAATGTGATTGACTCTTAACTGCCCTCTGGGCAATAAATGCTGCCTAGCAGTGACACCCTCATCCCGTGAATGAATAAAAATAAAAAAGAAAATCTCTGGTTATGTCCATCCCACTGGCAGGACAGGTTCTGCAGAGGTATCTGGACAATGGTTTACAATCGGGAGGGAGTTGCCCTGGGATTCCTCCACGTTGACTACGGACCCAATGAAGTCTCATGGGTTCAGGTCAAACATGGGAAAGAAAGCCTCCTGCTGTTTGCCATATTATCTACAACCCTGCCTCCTCTGGGCTGATGAATCAGTACTCCTTGTTGAACGACACTTGGAAGCCACATTGGGGGTGTCAAGAGTACAGAATGTACTTTGGATGGGGGACTTCAGTGTCCACCATGAAGAATGGCCCGGCAACACCACTACTGATGGAACTGGTTGAATGCTAAAGGGCATAGCTGCTCACCAAGTCTGCACCAAGTGGTGAGGAAACATACAAAGGAAAAAAATATACTTGACTTCATTCTCATCAGTCTGCTGGCTGCAGATACATCTGTCCATGATATTATTGGTAAGATAATGCGTACTCCTTGCAGAGACACTGCCCCTCATCATATGGTGTGATGCTATCATTGTGCTGAATGGGATAGTTTGCAAATAGTTTCAGCAACTTAAGACCAGGCATCAATGAGATATTGTCGGCCATCTTAAACAGCAGAATTGTACTCCAATACAATCTGCATTCTCATGGTGTGTCATGTCCCCAACTCTCCCATTACCATCTAGCCAAGGGATTAACCCTGATAAAAATGAATGGTGTAAGAGACCATGCCAGGAGCTGTGAAGTGGTTTGGAGTATTATGAGCATGTGTAAGTTGTTTTTTAAATGCATATATTTTTACACTTCCTCAATTCACCTTCATTTAAGCACATTTGAAATTACTTGGGTTAGATTGTTAATCCATCTCTCCTCTTAACAGTAAGAGTTTTTATTTTATAATATTTAAAAATGGCTTTATTATTTTCCTTTAGGTAGCACTTGTTTTTCCAAACAATGATCCTGCTGCTTTTATGGTTGCATTCTATGGTTGTCTGTTGGCAGAGGTAGTTCCTGTTCCTATTGAAGTACCTCTTACGAGGAAGGTAAGACTTTTATTTTGTAGAGTAAATCTGATTTATCCTTTGCTCATAACCAAAGAAGTACAGTTAAAGGCTGCCTTGAAATGTGCTGCAATTAAATATCCAAGTTGCTACTCTTCAGTCATAGGAAAGTTGATGAACTAATCTGACTTGGATCATCTTTATCATTATTATTTTCCTCCAGTCATTAAACTCTCTGAGGCATTGGTTTGAGAGTGGTGAAAGCAAAAAGTGTAGCTTTGTCAGCACTTGGAGGGAAAAAAAGATTGCTTAACATTTTGATTGTAATTACGTTTGTCAGAACTGGAAATGGAAAATGGAACAAACTATTTAACAGAGCTGAACAAACTAAAACTGGGGTGGTGGAGGAGCATTGGGTTGGAAGTGGGAAGTGCAGGAAGAAAGTTTTAAAGTGTATCCAGTGAGGTTCTGTTTAAAAACTAGAAGATAAATAGTTGAAGATATGTTGAAAAGGGGAAGGTATGGAAAGACGCTGAAATAAAGATATTGACTATTAAGAACAGATTGCAGTTTTCCTGCATTTCCAATGAGAAAAGTAATGCTGAAAGCACAAAAAGCCACACTAACATCCTGAGTTCAGACTCTTTCCACTAGACCAGGGTGTGTCTTACCTTGCTTTTATTGTTTCATTCTGTGGATTATTACCATAGTGCATCTGTTGTGAATTGTTGCACCTTTTGCAAGCATCTCTGACAAGTTTATTATCAATTCCCAAATTTAATTCTCATCCTTCTAAGGATGATTTTCCCTCTCCAAATAAAATCAAAGTTCATAATGCATAACGCATTGTTGCAGATCCCTGTCTAAAAGTGAAAGTAACAAACCTCGAAAATCCATGAAGCAAGAAACAACTCCAGCCAGTGGAATTCTGAAGTATGTCCGGTCTTGTCTGTCTCCTATGACCTGTATACCTTAAAAACAGAAAATGCTTCAGCAAGTGGCGGTATGGTGGCTTAGTGGTTAGCACTGCTGCCTCATAGTGCCAGGGGCCCGGGTTTGATTCCATCCTCGGGCGACTGTCCGTTTGGAGTTTGCACGTTCTCCCTGTGTCTGTGTGGTTTCCTCTGGGTGCTCAGGTTTCCTCCCACAGTCCAAAGATGTGCAGGTTAGGTGGATTGGCCATGCTAAATTGCCCATAGTGTTCAGGGACATCCAGGTTAGGTGGGCTAGCCATGGGAAATGCAGAATTACAGGGATAGAGGTAGGGGAGTGGTTCTGGGTGGGTTCTCTACAAAGGGCTGGTGTGGACTTGATGGGCGAAATGGCCTGCTTCCATTCTGTAGGGCTTCTATGAATAGATCTACAAAATAAATATCTGCTGATTTCGCATTCCCTTCTTAAATTTTCCTTTATTTTTGACAAAATCCCCAGTTCTGAAGAAGATTCATTGAATCCAAAACATTAACTCTGCTTTCTCTGCCTGATCTGCTGAGTTTTTGCAGTAAATTCTCATTTTGTTCCTTAATCTTTGCACTTGTTGTAATTGTATTAATTTTGTGGAATTATCAGAAAAGACTCAAAATGCTTATAACATTATCCCTATTTCCGATATTCTAGTGTATTTTTGTAAACTGTTTGAAAATAACGCCACATCTTGGTTTTAGAAGACAGAGGGTAGCAGTGGAAGGGCATTTTTTAGAATGGAGACAGGTAACTAGTGGTGTTCCACAGGGATATGTCTTAGGTCCTTTGTTGTTTGTAATATATGTAAATGACCTGGAGGATAATGTGGGTGGTCTGATTAGTAAGTTTGCAGATGACACAAAGATTGGTGGAGTTGCTGATAGTGCCGATGATTGTGAAAGGATACAACAGGATATAGATAGATTGGTGACTTGGGCACAGAAATGGCAGATGGAGTGTAATCCAGACAAATGCAAGGTGATGCATTTTGGAGATCAAATTTAGGTGTGAATTGTACTATAAATGGCAGAACCCTTAGGAATATTAACATACAGATGGATCTGGGCGTGCAGGTCCAGAGTTCCCTAAAAATGGCAACACAAATGGCCAAAGTGATTAAGAAGGCATATGGCAGGCTTGCCTTCATCGGCTGGGGCACGGAGTACAAAAGTTGGCAAAACATGTTGTAGCTGTATAAAGCCCTTGTTAGGCCACATTTGGAGTATTGTGTACAGTTTTGGTCGCCACACTACCAGAAAGACGTCAAAGCTTTGGAGAGAGTGTAGAGAAAGTTCACCAGGAAGTTGCCCGGTCTCAAAGGCGTTGGCTATGAGGAAAGGTTAAAAAGACTAGGATTGTTTTCACTGGAAAGACAGTGGTAGAGGAGACCTGATTGAGGTCTACAAAATTATAAGAGGCATCGACAGGGTGGATAGTCAGAGGCTTTTTCCCAGGGTTGAAGTTTCAATTACAATGGGGCACAGGTTCAAGGTGAGAGGGCAAAAGTTTAAGGGAGATGTGTGAAGAAAGTTTTTCACGCAGAGAGTGGTAGGAGCCTGGAATGCCAGAGGTGGTGGTGGAAGCAGGCACGTTGGCGACATTTAAGAGGCATCTGGACATGAATAGGGAGGGAATAGAGGGATACGGACCGAATAAGGGCAGAAGGTTTATTTTCAAGTCAGGGCATGATCAACGGCACAGGCTTGGAGGCCCAAAGGGCCTGTTCCTGTGCCGTACCTCTCTTGTTCTTTTTGTTGTATTTATAGTCGCTGCTGCTTAATAAGAGATTGCCTGCAGTTTTTTGTTTGTATATCTTATCTTCTAACGTATGTATGAACAATAAGTTGGAAAATGTTGTTCATGTTAAAAAAAAGATAAGCATCACTTGAGTTGAAGTGTGATATTTGCTCCAAATTATTATAAGGATACTTTTTGTGGCATTGGGGATAGGGAATAGATGATTAAATGATATATAATGAACTAGCTGTGCACAGTCTGGAAATTAACTCTCACAAATAAATGATGAAGAATTCTGAATTTAAGAAAACTGTACTCTTCCAGCAGGCAGTATACAATTAAATGGAATTAATTGCAATCTGATAAAGTTCTAAATATGATAAATTTAATATGTCCACAGATAGAGCTTAATCCAGTGCAGCTTGAACTGAAGTACTACTGACCTCCCACTAATTTATTTTCTTATTGATAGATACAACTGTAAGGCTATTGATGCATGTTTATTCTGGAGCATAATTTATTTTAAAGTTATAAAACGTTGTCTCATGTTTGAGGAAAAGCAACCATGTGTATTCTTCTGTGAGCCCAGTGAATGTTGGAAAGATGCAAGAGGGGTGAATCAAACCCGAGACTGATCCTTTTGTACTAAACATATGCACTTTCTGGCAGGAATCATTGAAATTACCTTTTCAGTGTCCTATTTTGCACATCCCTTGGAATCCAGGGAGAACCTTTCTAATTTTTTGCGTAATATGAGGCTTTTCTGAACCTCTCTTTCCCGCACAGCATGATCTTTGCTCTTTGATTAACAGGAGTGAGAGGGCATTTCATGTTGGCCAACAAAATTAAAGTATGAACTCAGTAGTGATTGACAGGGGATCAGGAACGTTTAGGGGGAAATCAGGACCCTGGTTGTGGAACCTAGGTTGAAACTCGCTGAAACAAAATGTTACATCCAAAAGAAAATATGGTTTTGGGCAAGGAATTCTGGTTTGTAGCCAAAATTGTTTTTAAAAACAGAACTACAGGATACACCAATTTTAAATGCAGTTTTATTTTTGCATCACTTTTGGCTCCGAGATACTATAATTCAAAACAACTTAATCATCCATCAACATTGTTCTTCATTCTAGGAAGGTGCTTGTGTTCTTGGTTTCAAACTGTTTAGCTGAGGTGGATGACAGTAGTTCGACTGGTTTACCCTTGCTATACAGATAAAGTGAAATGCTTGCTGCAGTGTCAGATTCTTGCTTTGTTGCTTTATTGCTGGTTTCAGTTTGTGAAAATTTAGCTCTCAAAATTACAACAACTAATCTGTAAAAGATTGGATCATAATGATATGCCATCTGTTTCCCACATATTGCTCATATCCCACTAGAATAAAAGTGTTATAAATACTTTATTTTGCACCAGATTAGTTAATAATGTCTGAAAATTATTCCATTCTAAATGTAACATGAAGTGCTTTTAACTGTCATACAAAGTAACCAAAATAATCAGAAAAAAAACCCACAAAATTACACTCACTCAGATTATCTTGCTGTGCCTGTGTGTTCTCAGTGGGGGCATGCTTCATGGCTTCACAGTCCATGCATATGCAACTCAGCAGAGCTGTGTGATGGGTAACAAGCAAACAAGAAGGCATCTCACCCAGTACATGTTAAACAATACATATAAAGCGTATGCCCAGACCATAAACGGTAACTACTTCTATTCAAGTAAAATGAAACAGATACAATTGCAAAACACTGCAGATGCTGGAAATCTGAAATAACAAAACAAAAAGGCTATAAAATCTTAGCGAGTCAGGCTACATCTTTGCCCAGGAAGAGACTTAAAGTTTCAGGTTGATGACTTTTTCATCAGAACTGAAAAGGAATAGAAATATCAGAGCTCTTAAGAATTAGAAAATTAGAATTTTTTTTATTGTCACATGTACTTAAGTACAGGAGTACAATGAAAAGTTTACAACGTTGCTTTTCCTGGCTCCATCTTAGGTACAAAGTATCTAGGTACAAGTCTTAGATACAAAAAGAGGAATAAAAAAAAGTTGCATTACCTTTGCAATTCATAGTATGAGTTATAAATAAGATATAGTTAAAGGGATAAACATTACAGTCAGATAAACAGATTTCAGATAAACATTACATCGCTTTTAAACGAGCAGAAGGGAGAAGGCAGGAAAAACAAAAGATCTCTGATATTGTGGAGGCTAGGGTAGATTAAACTATAAGACTTCATGATGCAACAGCCAAAAAGAAATGGTAATATATAGAGTAAAGAAACAAAGGCTGTTTCTAACTGAAGCAATTGCTGCATAAAAGCTATCTGAATGCCTCATGGAAGTATAAAGAAAGAAGCTAGACAAAGATCAACCCAGCAAACATAGGGGAAGAAAAACATACACGATAAAAGGAGGGTTGAGCTTATTATCTAAAGTTGTATGGAATTGAGTTGAAGAGTGCTGAGTCAAAAGATAAGGTTTAGTTCCTCAAGCTTGTGTTGTTAACTGGGACACTGTATCAGACCACAGGCAGAAAGGTCAGCACAGTTGCAAGGTGGACAATTAAAATGGAAAACAGCCAGGAGCTTGCTGTAGTGCTTGTGGATTGAGCAGAAGTGTTCTGCAAAGCGCTTAATGCAATCTGCATCTGATCTCGTCATTGCAGAGCACCCATGTCTACCGAGAATGAAGAACCTAATCTAATAGGAGAAACTAGTGGGATTAAATGCTGACAAACCACTTCAAGCTGACAGCCTACATCTTGGGGTTTCAAAAGTGGTAGCTACAGAGATAGTGGATGCTTTGGTTTTAATCTTCCAATACTGCTTAGATTCAAGAACAAATCCAAAGGATTGGAAAGCATCAAACATAACCCGCCCATTTAAGAAAGTCAAAATTAAGAAAATGAACTATCGGGCAGTTAGCCTAACATCAGGTTTAAATAAAATGCTACAATCTGTTATTAGAAAGTTGTGACAGGGCACTTAGAAATTCATAATATGTTTAAGCAGAATGAAAATGGGTTAATTAACTGGAAATTGTGCTTGACAAATTGTTTTGAGCCACTGAGATGGAAATTGGGGAACTATTTGGATTTTCCAAAAAAAAGTCAAAAATGTGTCACTCAGAAGGATATTAAACAAACTTAAAGGATTGAGGATTGGTTCATATGAAGAAAACTGAGAACAGATAAATGGAACGTTTTATGGTTTGACAGGCTGCAGCTAGCGGTGTACCACAAGGATCAGTTCTTGAGCCTCAGCTATTTATAATCTATCTCAATATCTTCAATGAGGGATTGAGTGTAATATGTTCAGGTTTGTTGTCACAAAAGTAGGGGAGGTGAAGTAGTGAGTAGCGACGCATAAACAAAGCGGAGGGATATTGGCAGGTTGGGTGACTAGGTAAGAACAGGTTGATGGAATAGAATATGAAGGTATGAAATAAAGTACTTTTTTTGAGTGGAGAGAGAGACTGGGAAATGTTGTCCTTCAGAAGGTAACCATGAACATGAGTCATAGAAAGTTAACACACAGGACCAGCAAATGATCAGGAAGGCAGATGGTATGTCAGCTTTTGTAAGAGAGGGACTGGAACGTAAGAATAAAGAAACCTTATTGCACCTTTAAAGGGCAATGGTGAAGTTACGCCTAGAGTTCAGTGCAGTATTGTTCTCATTACTTAAGGAAGGATATACTTTGCTTAGAGGGAGTATGATGTAGAGTCACCTGACTGGTTCCTGGAATGAGGGAATTGTCCTCAGAAGAGAGATTGAACAGACCAGGCATACATTCCTTACAGTTTAGAATAATGAAGTGATCTGATTGAAACATGAGAATTTCTAAGGGTCTGGATAGTATGGATGCTGAGAAGCTGTTTCCCTCGTTGGGAATCTAGAATATGAGGTTGTAGTCTCAGAACAAGGATATTTTAGAATTGAAAAAGTGAGGGGAAAAATCTCCATTGAATGAATTATGAATCTTTGGAATTCTGTAAGTTAGAATGCAGAGGATTTTCAGTCGTTGAACATATTAAAGATAGGCGTTGAAAGATTTTTGGCCAGCAAAGAAATTACAGGATGTGGAACTTGTGAGAGATAGAGAATTAAGGTCAAAAATTGGTCAGAATATCATTTAATAGTGAAGCAAGGTTGAAGGGCTGCATGATCTACATCACCTCCCATATGTTATGCTCTAACAATCTGCAAGGCATGACCCAATCTCAATGGGACTGTTGCACTTAATTTTGGTCACTACTCCATTTGCAAAAAAAAATCCCATTTTCAAGGTGATGAACCTTAAAATAAAATAGGAATATCTCAACCATTACATTCTATAAGCAAAATGTTTTGTGTAGGGGTAAGAAGGAAATAAAGGAATATGTCAAGTGTATATTACATGTTACCTTGGGTAAAGCCAGAGCGTCAAATGGAAATCGAAAACAATAGCAGATGATGTAACAATTGAAGCAAATGTCGAATTATTAGGAATTAAAATATTAGGAACTGTTTTTTGTTCAGTGTGATAACCGCCTCCTCACAGAGTAACAGAGATGGAGACATTTACTGAAACTGCAGTAAATATGAAGAATTAAAAGACTTCTGGAATAAGCTTCTCTCATTCTTGACTGTTCTTACATTCTTACCTGAAGAGAATTAGAAGACATGATTATAAGGAAAACACAACTATTTTTAAAGTGTGGAATAACTGTAAAAAAAATTTGCCATTTAAAGAAAACGCTATCGCTTGCTTGTTTAAGTAAGAGTAGTGAGCATTAGATAAAGAGAAGGCAATGGAAAGAGATTTAGCTGACTAAACAGACTGGATTGGTTGAATGGCATTTTATAATTTCAATAATCATGCTGTTTTCTTCCATAATGACATAATAACATTTTCTAGATAACAAATGATCTTGCATGGGCTTACAACTGTACTCACTTGCTCTTTGTGCCCAAATAAAGCTTATTAAATTTGTTATGTAATTAATTATTGACAGCATGTATTCATTTTAAATCCTGGAACACAAACACAGGCGATTTAACTTATCAAATTGCCATTGGATTTTTTTTTCCTCAACACAACTATCCAATCTAATCCCAATTTCCTACTTTCTCCCCGTATCTGAGTCGATTTTCAATTGACAATTTAACTTTTTTTAAAAAGCAGCTGTTAAATTTCCTTTTATCCACAAAGGTCTTTATTAATCTTGAGTCTGTTGGTGGGCGGTTGGAGTGGGGTGGGGGTTAGAATTTATGAGAATGTCGAGTATCAGAAAATAGAGGCTGTAGACTCATTTGGCTAGAAAATCATCAGTGGGAGTTGCGGAGTGGGTATAACAGGTGATGACAAATTTGCCCATTGTACACTTTGTTAGATTTACTTTTCCATTGAAATATCGCTACTTGGGAGAACAGTTACTCATACATGTGACTTCTGTCATGGAAACAGATAGTTAATGCATAGCTTCATTTACCAGTTTGTCTAATATTTTGGATCCAAGGCACTATATGATGGATGATTGGATATACATCAAGCAGAACATTTCTTTTGTAGAAGGCACATGATGACTGAATTGCTGTAGGCCGGCTATCTGTACTATCACCATCACATAAGTAACTAACTCATGATGATGCTGATCTGCCTTGTCACCTTTAGATCTGCTACAAACTATCAGCTCACATGCTTACTAATAGCATGGAAATGAATAACCTGCGATGTTGTCTGTCCACCTTCAACACTTGCTAATAGCCACAGTATATACTTGTTTCAGTACTAAAATACTAAAAATCATTCAAAAGAAAATCTAAGACTCTGTTGTCATAGTCATAAATATTTGTTTCATTTCATTAATGCAATCCTATTTATTAGGATGCAGAGAAAACCCCTGGTTCCAATACAAGTAGTGTAAAATAGTCCTGAAGGCCCTCAATAAGTTTCTTCCGAGTTATGGTGGAGTCCAACTTTCTCAGTTAGTCATGTTCCTTTTTGGTATGTAGCTAGAAAAACTACATTGGTTGAAACACATCATGGGCGAAAGTGTTCCTGAGCTCACTCCTGCGACTGTCTCTTTCTAAGCTTCTTGCTCCCATTTGCTGAATATTCATATATTTTCTCTGTCCCCACTTCCTCTTCCTTCCATTCCACATGCCCAGATCAGTTCTGAGAACCTCAAACTGATGATCTCTGTTCCCAATGCACTTCATCTACTATCTCCTTACCACCTTTGGATTCCAACATCATACCAATGTGTACTCCAAGATTTTGTGTTAAACCTAACACTATGCCTCCCAGTATTTGCAGATTGTTGTCACCATGCTTGAAAACCTATGTAAGACCACCTTGTCTCAGATTACAGTTTCTCTCCTAATGTTCTCACAGTCCATGACCCCTTCTGCAAATGTGTGTCCATTCTGTCCAGTGATCCCAACCACAGTCCATCTTTCAGCAAAACAAAACAGACCCCTTTCCCATTCTCATTTTCTTTAAAAGATTTAACCTAATTTTGCTCATCAACCAGAGATGTTATTTTTCCCTACTCTATCTTGACACAATATTCCACATTTGGTACCTCAGCATCTATAATGACTCCTCATTACCACATCCTTCTGTCCCTACCTGTGTTCCCAGATAATCATTTCAACAATATCAAGCCACAAAGTACCAAACACACACATGGTGCATGCAGCATGGATCTCCTTCCATAGATCCTTTCTCTGTACCCTGGGATCTTTATATAAAAAAGAAGGTAAGAGGCACAAGCAAATACACACCAACATTGCAGCGAAAGACACCGATTTATACTTTTTAAGCAAATAATTAAGCAAACTTAAAAACAAATGAATGTTCCCATCATACTGTTCAGTTTAAAAATACAACACAAATTGACTTATTCAGACACCATCAGTCAGTGGCCCTGATAATGTATTGTACGTTACAGGAGATAAAGCAACGTTTCCTCCGACTCAATGTGAGCAACGCCATGGGAGATCTGCTAGCTTTAATAATAAAAATGGTATGTGTGTGCACATTTCTTGTCTGTCGCGTCACACTGTGTCACAACTATTGGCAAGTAATAACATTTCTTGTGGATGACTGGGGCTGATTCATGGTATTTTCCTTAGGAAAAAAGTAAGAAAGCCAGTATAGTATTTTGCACTTTTATATAAAATACCCCCACCAACAGAAAATACTTTGCTAATTGGAGATTTTTAATCTCTGTGCCCAACAATGTTACTCTTTGTTCTAAACTAAAAGGGGAAATCAGATTTTTTTATCTTTACAAATTGAAGAATGGTTCAACTCCTGGTTGATGTTAACCTTGCTAAATTTGTTTACCAAATAATCAAAACTCCAACTGAACTAGGGCTCTGTTTTGAAACTGTTCCTGAATAAAGTTAATAGACCTTGAGTCTTATTGTTATACTCACCCAGAATGAAAGAAGGCAGCACAAGGTTTTCAGCGCAAATTTCATTTCTCCATAAATTGTGGTCTTGGGCTGGAGAATAGCTGGTGTCATATTTTTGTGGAAGAAGACAACAAAGAATGAACAGAAGATAGCAAGAACTGCTGATGCTGGAGTCAGAGATAACACAGTGTGGAGCTGGAGGAGCACAGCAGGCCAGGCAGCATCAGAGGAGCAGGAAAGTTGACATTTCGGGTCGGGACCCTTCTTTGGGAAGGGAGCTCTGAAATAAATAGAGAGGAGGGGTGGGGCTGGGGAAGGTAGGTGGTATTGGTGAGTGCAGGTAGGGAGTGGTGGGGATTGGTCAGTGGGGTGGGAAGAGCAGACAGCTGGGAGAGAAGATGGACAGGTTGTGTCAGGTCAAAAGGAGGAGGGGATGAGAGGGGGTGCAAGGAGGCAAGGAATATGAGAAGGCCTCATATTCCACCTTGGGAGCCTACAATGCAATGGTCTCAATGTGAACTTTACCAGTTTCAAAATCCCCCCACCCCCAGCCTCATCCCATGACCAACCCTCCCTCTCATCCCCGTCTCCTTGACCTGACAGAACCTGTCCATCTTCTCTCCCACCTATCCATTCCTCCCACCTCACTGACCAATCCCCACCACTACCTATTTGCACTCACTTATCACCATCCCACCTACCTTCCCCAGCCCCACCTCTCCTCTCTCTATTTATTTTGGAGCTCCCTTCCCCCTCCCCCATTTTTGAAGAAGGGTCCTGCCCCAAAATGTCAACTTTCCTGCTCCTCTGATGCTGCCTGGCCTGCTGTGCTCCTCCAGCTCCACACTGTGTTATCAAAGAATGAACAGAATACTGCTGAGCAACTCATCCAAATTAATTATAGGCAAACTCTTAGGATTCATGCGAAATGACTGGAGAAGCTGGGACCGTTTTCCTTGAGCATAGAGGACTAAGAGAAAATTTAATAGAAGTGCTCAAGATTGTTCAGTGTTTTGTTAGGGTGAATATAGGGAAAAACAGTATCCACCAGCAGAAGGATTACTGACTAGATGACTCAGTTTCAAGGTAACGTGATGAGACGTCTTTTTACCTACTGAATTATTAAGAACTGAAATGCACCGCCTGAAAGTATAGTAAAATCAGCATCACTCGTAACTTTCAAAAGGGATTTGGACGAATATTTGAAGGCAAGACATTTACAAAGCTGTGGGGTAAAAATAAAAGGAATGGATCAAATTGAATATTCCAAAAAAGAGCTGACAGAGCTGACAAAGGCTAATGGGCCAAATACTCTCTTTCAAGGCTATAAGCTGTCATGAAGACATTCACTTAATTTGCTCACTAATTATGTGACATAACCAAAGACATAGATTTATTAAATACAAATATTGTTTGACAAATGTAGAAGTTTCTCTATGAAAAGGCGGCATACTGAACAGATAGAGCAATTGCATCAAATGTAGTGTATGTGCATTTTCAGAAGGTGTTCAGAGATTTATTAGAAAGAAATGTTCAAGTACACTGGTGTGGTTGGAAATTTTGAAAACAAAGGATTTGGACTGTCAATAGGATCAAACTGTTGTTGTATCTGTTGCCTTAGGCCAATGTCCGCTTTCAGTCTCAGTATGTATGTCATCATAGAGAAAACAATCTCTCAGTTTGCTGATGATACAATAATAGCTTATCAAACAGTTCAAATAGCAGCAAAGGGCATAGATTAACAGAATGGACAGTCTAAATAGAATGCAATTTTATGTGAATAAGTGTTAACTTGTACAGGCAGCAGAAAGAATTGGAGAAAACGCATAGTGCAAGTTATCAAAGCTGTGGATGAACTGAGAAGCCAACAATTCCAATACATTATTTCCTGAGAGTGAGATTTCGGGTGGATAAAGCCATTAAAAATAGGAAATAGCATTTTTTATGAATAGGAAAATAAAATGCAAGAGTACATTATTGGATGAAATTACATCACAGATACAAACCATTCAGTGTAGGTGCAATAACCTTAATCTCACCTGTCAATCTTTATTCCACTATTCTTCCTTTTGTCAACTACCTCCTTAACCTATTCTTAAATGCTAATATGGGATTGAAACTTAATTTTAGTGTGTGCATGCACTTCATTGGAAAGATAAACCAGCTCTTTGTAAGGGTTTAATTTTTTTTTTTCTGTACTCTGTTCTAAATCCTGTACTGTTAAATTTACAACCATGTTCCTTGCTCTAAACTTCTCAGTCACTGAAAATCTAACCCTTCATAAATTTGAATGTTGGCATTAAATCATATTACTATTTCTTCTGTTTTAATAGATACCAGTCCCAAATTGTTCAGTGATATTTTTGTACTTGTATTTTCCCATACCAGGATACCACCAGTATCCTGATCAATCCATACAGTGCCCTCTTTAATACATCAGCGCTATTGTGATAGGGAGATCAAAAATTGCACAGAATGCTTGAACCTCGCGTTTTTTTATAGGTTCAGATTTTTTAAGGCCTTATCCACTTGATGTGCTGCTTTTAATATTTCGTGAATGTGAACCCGAAATCTCCTTAGCTGTTTTCTTCAACTAGCTTTGTCCCATTTCAAAATAATCAGATAATTGTTTAGAGCACTGTATGATATGGTAATAAAAATTAAAGTATTGCATGGAATTTTATAAATTGAATGTTGAAGCATTGGAAAATATACAGCATAGATTCATCAAGCTGATGGCATGGGTGGGAAACTGTAGTTATGAGGAGAGACCAGAGATCATGGAACTATTTCCACTGGAGCCGAGGAAGTTAAGAAGAAATGTAGTTGAGTTTGAAAAATTTTCTGCATAGACTGTGGTTTTAACATGGAATGCTTTGTGAAGCAAAAGTGTAGTTAGGACCAACCAGTTCAAGTTTGATGGGAAATTTGAACATTTTTTTTGGAGTTGAAGCAGATACAAAGCTGTGGAATAGGAAAGCCATGAAATTAATTTTGAGTTACTCTAGAAAAGATTAATAGGTGCTACCTGCATTGGTTCTATATTAATTAGGCTGATTCTGTCATATCAAAGGGACTGTGGTGACAAATTGGTGAGTAGCAATGAGAGTAGGCCAGTCAGTCTATGCCACCTAATCTGCTATTAAATCCGAATATGGGCAAGATCTGCTTCTTCTCCGTTCACTATCTTGGAGTCATGTTTCTTCACACCCTTCTCTAACAAAAACTTATGGCTCTCTTCATTGAATTTTCAGATGACCACATATCCCTAATCCTTTAGATTAGAGAATTCCAGATTTCCACATCCCTCTGTTTGCTGATTTTCTACCTGAGTGGACTAACTCTAAATTTAAGACTAATGCCTTGTTCTGGATTCCCTTCACCAGAGAAAGTAGTATCTTTCTTCATTGAAACCTTTTGCCATTTTAAACAATGATGCAACCCCCTTCTCTGACTCCACCCTAATTTAAGGTCATCTGTTAAAACCTGCATGCACTCCTTTGTTACCTTCGGACATGACTGTTATAATGCTTTCTTGGCTGGGCCTCCCACCTTCAAAATCTTTGAGCTCATCCAGAGCTCCCTGTTCATATCCTAACCTGCACCATGTTCCATTTGCTGACTTGTATCGGCTCCTACTATAGTAGTGCTTCAGTGTTCAAATTCTCCCCTTCACCTTCAAATCCATCAATGGCCTTACCCCTTACATCACTGCAACCTCCTATTGCTTGATAGCCCTTTGATATTCTGCTTCCCCTGGTCTTTGTGCATCCTTGATTTTAATCGTTCCACCATTAGCACCAATACCTCCTGCTGCCCAGAAATTTGAAATTCCCTCCCTACATTTTGTCTGTTCCTCTCTTCCCTCTTTAAGACACTCTGGAAAACCTGCCTCTTTGACAAGCTTTTGATCACCTGTCCTTTTATCTTGTTATGGAGTTTATGCCGAATCTTGTTTAATAAAACTCCTGAAAAGTGCCTTGCACATTGCTGTTCTAAATGCATGACATAAATTAATGTTCTAAAGCCAAGCCAAGACAATACAACTGAACTTGACGTAACCTGCCTTCCTAACTTGATTCCTTAAGCCCCAATGTAATTCCAGTGAATCTGCATTGCACCACCTCCAAATCCATTATATCAATTTCAAGGTGTGGTGTTCAAAGCACTCCATACTATTCAAAATGAAACCTGATCGAGGCTGCATACAATTGAATCATGACTCTTTTCCCTATGTATTCCGGCCTATTTAAATAAAGGTTCAGGTTTCAGACAACTTTGTTTTTTTTTCTACTTGAACATGTGTGCACAGCTACCCAAATTTTTATCCCTGCACAATTTCTAGTTTCTCACTATTGAAAAAATTATTTGCCTTTCTTCGGTTCAAATTGAATGATCTTGTACTTTCCCACATTGAACTCCATTTTTCGTTCACTTATTCTGCAATGCACCATTGTAACTTCCTGCTCCCATCTTACTGTGTCTTTAGACTTGATGTTATCTTCATGCTTAGAAAGACAACTCCACATTCCTTCATCCAAATCATTGATAAATATGGTGAGGCCTCAACACACATCCCTAGGAAATGTAACTTGCAACATCCCAC